TATGAACTGTATATAAAAGACAGCAGCTCATAAACGCTGATTTGGTGTATCCTCACTGCAAGACCCCATGGGCTGGAAGGGGGTGCAGAGGAAAACCACATGGGCAGACTGGAGAGCCAGCAATGTAGCACTGGGCAGATGCTCCCATGCTGCTTGACTACTGCAGACTATGTTGTTCCGCTGTGCTGAAGCCACAGTCGGAGTGGCTCCACCCACTCCCCTCCCTGGGCAGTCTTCTGTTCCCTCCCTTGCAGCAGGCCACATAAGAGCCCTGGATGGGCCTTATGCTTGACACACCTGCTCTATGCTGTGTTTGCCCTCCAGGTCAGCTGACTGGCTTCTGTGTGAAACAGGATGCTGGACTGGATAGACCACTGGCCTGATCCATCCGGGCTCTTATCTCTTGTTAGAATGATATTGAGAGTTAACACCAGTCCAAACCCATTGAAATCAAAGAGGAACTCAGCCTAGCACTCCATGGCTAGTCTGATGATAATCCAGTTTTGGGGAAATTCTTGGGGATTAGGGGGTAATACTTGGGGAGGGTGGAGTTTGGAGTAGGGAGGGAGATCAGTGGGGATGTGATGCCATAGAGTCCACTCTCAGGAGCTGCTGTTTCCTTCAGATGAATGGATCGCTGTAGCTGGGAGATCAGGTGTTTTTTCCCCTTCATTTTTTAATTGAGAATATATTACAATTTCATACAGATGTTTCTTTCCTAATATATTATACTGCTTTTGAAACAAAACAAAACAAAAAAAACCCCATTGAGGTGACATGTCTGTTTATATCTTAATCCCAATCTTGTTTATAACCTCTTCTTTTTCTTATTTCCTTATATTACCCGCTTATAATACCACCATGCAACTTCCTGTATATCATATTCTATCATATTCTTCTTGTGTCTTCTTCAGTACCTAGAAAAGAAAGCTGGACGGGGTTGCCTCCGATACTGGGTGCTGTAGGGGAAATCCCTCCAGCAGGAGGGTAACCTCCACCCTTTTACCAGAGGTCTTTGGGGGAGCACACCCTTTACCTCCTTGCTATGCCCTTGTTATAATACTTCAACTCCTTTCTAATAGTTACTCCTTGTATCTAATTCTATGTTCCCAACTTATATTTATTTATTTTAATTGCTCTCCACATAACTTAATATGCCATTGTCAAGTCCCAAGACCCACTGTCCCCTTCAAACTCCTCCGTCTGTTTGCTTAGTAACTGCGTCCAAACGTTTTTTGCCTGTGGTCTCATTGTAAGTGGTGAGAGTTTTTCCATTTAGATTGACTACTAGGTGGCCGAGTGGAAGCCATCTATTCTGAATTTCATGGTCTCTCAACGCCTTCGCTGTTTCTCGTAGTCTGCGTCTTGCTATGGGAACCTCTGCTGGAATGTCGACGTATAGAAAAATGATGGTATCCTCAAGAGGTAAACCCTGCTTTTCCCTTGCAATTTTAAAAAGTTTGTTTTTTGTCTGTACCTCTTTGAATTCGATTGCAATGTCTGGGGAGGCTTCTGCAGAAGCTCTTTTAGAAACGTTCAGCTGGAAGACTGAGGTAATAATCTCTTCAGAAATCCCTGCTTCCCCAGCTGCGAGGAGGATCTGTTGCAGCCATTTATTTAAAGAAGCAGTGAGGTTTCCTGCTGCGCTGAAACTTGTTGAGACTCCTCTAAGTTTGGATTTCCTTTCTCTTTGTTTAGTTTCCTGTAGTATGATTTTATTTTTCGTCCATGCCTCAAATTCTTTCAGCTCTTTCATCTCATCTGCTACTTTCCTAGCTGTCTGGTGTGCAGCTTCAGCCTTCCTTTCCGCCGACTTTAGTGCAGCGGTGAGCTCGTCCAGGTTCTTATTTATTGGTTCAGCTCCTCAGAGTTTGTGTTAATCTTCCTTGGAGGTCTGGGGGGGGGGGGTCTTGGCTCCCTTCTTTCCTCTAGTCTTTCCCATACCTGGCATTGAAGTTTGTGTCAGCGTTGGTTTTGTTTGGAGAGCAAAACTGTTGTTCTTCAGTGGGAGTAGCAGGAGCGTCGAAGGGATGCAGCCAGCCGGAAGCTCAGCTACCTGGGAGATCAGTTGTAATTCCAAGAGAACTCTAGGCTCCACCTGTAGTTTGGCAATCCTAGTTTGGCTTGTACCACTTATGTATCTGAAGATGTGACTTATGTAGCTGAAAATTCTTTTGTACAAAAAAAAGGCCCCTCTCTATAGAAAACTAATTACCAGGGGGCAGGTTTCTAGCTAGGGTTGCCAGGTCCTTCCTGGCCACTGATGGAGGGGGGTGAGTTGTCAGATCCAGGTTGGGAAATACCCAAAAGATTTGGGGGTGGAGCCCGGGGAGGACAGGGACCTCAGTGGGGTACATTGTTATAGAGTCCACTATCCAAAGCAACCATTTTTTCCTGGGGAACTAATCTCTGTAGTCCAGAGAGGAGTGTCATGAGAGAGCCAGGGCTCAGTGATAGTGAGGACTCCTCAGGAGAAGAGGAGCCTCGTGTAGCCAGCTCTGAGTTAACAGAAGCTGGCAAGCAGGAAGATGAGCTGCAGGCTAGTCAGGGTTCACAGCCAACAGCTGATATGGCACCCTCCAGCCCTGACTCAACAAGTGAAACTCAGTTGGTCATTCCCAGGCCTCCAGCATCACCCACACCCTTAGAGCGCCACAGACAGAGGTTGAGAACAGAACTCCAGGCAAGATGGCAAACTGCATGCCTCCTGGCCCGACGATAGCTGCTTGCTGATAACAAAGATGAGTACCTGAGCAGCTGGTTGCAAGCTTCACCCTTAGGTACCAAGAGAGGCTTTTAGGTGTGGATGCAACGCATACGATAGATGCTAAGCCACTGACTTTGGACTGTCCAACTATGCCGTGTGTGACTTCTGGAGCCCTGACCTTTGGACTGTACAACTCTGCGCTGCCTGATACCTGAACCTACAAGCCAGTACAATGAGCTCTAATTCGGGGGCTGCAGCTGGTGCAGAATGCGGCAGCCAGGCTGGTAATGGGGGTCCCAAAATGAGATCACATCCAGCCTGTACTGAAAGCGCTGCACTGGCTGCCTATAGTGTTCCGGATTCGCTTCAAAATGCTGGTGCTTACCTTTAAAGCCCTACATGGCCAGGGTCTGGCATACCTGAGGGACCGCCTTTCCCCATACAGGCCCCAAAGAGCACTTCGGTCAGGGTCACAACACTGCCTAGTGACCCCGGGACCTAAAGAGGCCAGGCTTGCTGCCACAAGGGCCAGGTCCTTTTCGGTGACGGCTCCTACCTGGTGGAATGAGCCCCCAGAGGAGATTAGGGCCCTGCGGGACCTTTTACAGAGCTCTTCCGCCAGGCTTTTGAGTAGGAGCCGCCGCCGCCACTATTACCACCATCATGTACTACAGAGCAGTGCCGTCGGGGTGGGCTGATTAGCCAACTGGAACATCTCGGCCTATGGCACCCCCCCCCTTTTCTGTTGACCTCATGGTGATATATAATAATGAGTGAGTATTTTAACTACCGATGCATCCTGTAAGATTGAATTATGTTTTAAGTGGCTAACTGTGTAATTTTATCGCACTTTGCGTGCCTAAATTGTTTTAATGTGTTATATTTTATTGCACTGTTGTGCCTGTGTAAGCCGCCCTGAGCCCACATGCGGGAGGGCGGGGTATAAATGAAATAAAATAAAATAAATAAAATAAAATAATTGTGGGGGATCCCCAGAAAAGATTAATCAGTCACATGAGCTACCACCTGTAGTCTGAACTACTATAATACAGGTTTAACCCTTAATGGTATATAACCCTAGAGACCTGTGATTAGGATTTCCTCCTTGTTAATGGTAAACAAGTAGTGAAAACCAAGGCTGACTGTGAAGAGCTCCAAGAGGACCTCCACAAACTGGGTGAGTGGGCGACAATGTGGCAAATGAAGTTCAATGTTGGTAAGTGTAAGGTGATGCACATTGGGACAACCAGCTTCAGGTATAGGCTAAGGGGAATAGAATTTGCTGAGTCTGAGAGGGGAAAAGATCTTGGGGTCGTAGTGGATAGCTCAGTGAGTGTCAACCCAATGTGCTGCAGCAGTGAAAAAGGCAAACTCTACCTTAGGGATTAATAGGAAAGCGACTGGGAATAAAACGGCCGATATTGTAATGTCCCTGTATAGATCCATGGTGCAGCCTTATTTGGAATATTGTGTACAGTTCTTGTTGCCATATCTCCAAAAGAGCTGGAAAAAGTGCAGAGGAGGGCAACCAAGATGATTCGGGGGCTGGAGTACCTTTCCTATAAGGAAGGGCTGAACAGACGGGGACTTTTCAGTTTAGAAAAGAGACAACTAAGGAGGGACATAATAGAGGATTATAAAATTATGCATGGGGTGGAGAGAGTTGACAAAGAGAAAATGTTCTCTTGTTTCCAAAATATTAGAACTCAAGGTCATCTAATGAAGCTGATGGGCAGTAAGTTCAGGACAGACAAAAAGAAATTCTACTTTACACAGAGAGTGGCAAACATGTGAAATTCGCTGCCAGAGGATGTACTGATGGCCACAGGAATAAACAGCTTTAAAAGGGGATTAGATAGATTCATGAAGGAGAAGTCTATCAGTGGCTACTAGCTGTGGTGGCTGAGGGGGAACCTCTACATTCGGAGGCACTACTAAACTTTGGAATCCCAGAGCCTGGAGGCAACATTAGGGGAAGGCCTCAGCCTCTATGCCCTGCTGTTGGCCCTTCAGAAGAACTGGTTGGCCACTGTGTGAGACAGGATGCTGGACTAGATGGACCATTGGTCTGATCCAACAGGGCTCTTTTTATGTTCTTAAACACAATGGGTAGGTTGTGATAGCCCTTTTGCAAAGCTGGCCTTGGAATGCTGGCTCTTTTTATGTTCTTAAACACAATGGGTAGGTTGTGATAGCCCTTTTGCAAAGCTGGCCTTGGAATGCTGGTTCTGTGTGTGCAACTGTAATAAGCACATGGTGCACATGCACAGTGAAATCTGTTGTTTTTCTGCAGACTGTCAAGGCTTTCCTTCCACAAATGATCAAGAAGGGACATGGCCACATTGTCACCATAGCTGGATCACTGGGGCTCTTTGCAACCGGTTCCATGGAGGTTAGTAACTTACAGTCAGTTAAATCTTACCATTATACACCTGCTCTCTCAGAAAGTGTCCTGTTTCTTGTTCTGTGACCTTCAGAATCAGAACCAGCATAACCTAGAAAAACATGGATGTTTTTTCTGCATACTGCCTTGTCTGATTCTGAAAGCTTAGGATCAACAACGGTCAATGAAAAGGAAACCCCAAAAGAGTAGGGCAGAGTCAGGACTATCCAAAACATCCAAAAGGCAGGAACGATCAAACGAAAAACATCTGGAATGTCTGAATCCCAAATGGAAAAATATAATGAAGTACAAGAAAGGGGACCCACGAAAATCACGGGGGGAGGAGCGGGGGAGCTCCACACAGAGCAAGCGGAGGTGGAAGAAGCTTCCCCCCTCCCGTCGGTTCCCCCGTCTCCTGCATCCCCCCAACTACCACCCCCAGCTTGCCGCCCCCCCCAGTCTCTCTCTCTTCCCCCCCATTCTCTCTCTCCCCCCCTCGGCAGTCTCTCTTCCCCGCTCCCGGCCGCCTCCTCCGCCTCCTCCTCAAAGTGAGGCCCGCGGCTTGCAGCCGCCGGGGCTCGCCGGGCCTTGCCGTCGCCGCCTCCTCCTCCTCAAAGTGACCGGTTCCTCGCTCCCCTCCCCCCCTGAATCGAGGCAGTTCGCAGAGCATTCCCTGCGCATGCGCAGGGGACGCTCTGTGACTTTTGGTGGGATTTAAGTATCCCCCCGATTTTTTTTCCAGCTTTTAAGATTTTTGTGCACACCTGGGGACCGTCCCAAGTGTGCACAAAAATCCCCCTCCCCCCCAGGTTACTTCGATGTGCGGAAATAAGTATTCGCACACCAGGGGGCGACTTGGCTATTTAATGAAGTATGGTATAGCCCAATCTTGTCAGAAGCTAAGCAGGGTCAGTACTTGGAAAGGAGACCATCAAGGAAGACTCTACAGAGGAAAGCAATGGCAAACCACCTCTGCTTTTCACTTGCCTTGAAAGCCCCTTGCTGGCATTGCCATTAAGTCAACTGTGACCTCACAGCAATTTATGCACACATCAAGCTGATTGGTGAGAAAAGGAAGTTCAGACCTCCGTATCCCAAGTGATGCCCAGGGGGAGAATGCCTGTAATGAAAAATGTTTTTTCCCCCACCATAGGGCTACTGTGCAAGCAAGTTTGCAGTGGTCGGGTTCCATGAAGCACTGAGCCACGAGCTGAAAGCAAAAAGAGTCAACGGTGTGAAGACTACTCTCGTGTGCCCTTATTTTGGTGACACTGGCCTCTCAGGATGCTTTGGAATCAGGTAACAGCCCTGACCTGGATGGCCCAGGCTAGCCCGATGATGACAAATCTTTGAAGCTAAACAGGGTTGGCCCTGGTTAGTGCTAGGGGTGTGCACTCAATATATACTGAGCTGAATAAATACCTGAAAAACACCTTATTGGTATTTTCCAGGTATTTATTCAGCCGAATATAGATTGAAGAATCTGATTTGGCTACCGAAATAGCCACACCCAAATAAAATCCAATTATTCAGCTTTTATTTGGGTGCGGCTGAAAGGCATTTAAAGAGACAGCAGTCCCTTTAAATGCCCTTTTTACTCCTTTGGTTTTAATGGATGATGGGGGCAATTGGGGGAGGGGCATAGAATTGTACTCCCTGGTCCAATCTTTTTAAAACTTGGGGTTTATTTTATTTTTATTTTTTGAGGAGAGGCACCAGCAGCTATGCTGCAGATTTGGTGCCTCTGCATCAAAAAACCGCTCCCTAGAGCCCCGAATACCCTGGATCAATTCTCCATTATACCCTATGGGGTATAATATACCCTGTATCCTGTGGAGATGGTCCCCATAGGGTATAATGAAGCTGAATAAATTCAGGTTTCCCAAATATTTACCCAAATCTCAATACAATACCAATATTGGTATTCAGGAATATTTGGAATACCGATATTTTTTGGGTCCAATAGACCTGACACCCCTAGTTAGTACTTGGGTGGGAGATTGCCAAGGAAGATGAGGGGCTGCTACTCAGAGGCAGGGAGTGGCAAACCACTTCTGGATGTCTCTTGCCTTGAAAACCCTATAGAGTCACTGTAAGTCAGCTGCAACTTGGTGGAATTTTCCACCAGCAACTTACAAGGGACTCACACTCAGGCAGATCCGAACCGATCAACTCATTTCCAGACGCAGAAGTTTCAGTGATGCATTTAAAGCCTCTGGGTGGATTCAGACCACCATTGTCCCCACTGAGTGACAATTTCAATAGATACTACCAACTGAGAAGCCAGAGGGATCCGAAAAAGTCCAGCTGCCTTGAACAGAGGCTCAGCTCAGACATCGCACAAAACCATGGTTTAACGATATGGTTAGTTAGGATTCATCAGACATGGACAAACTGGTTTATTAACCACCCTTAGTTTTAACTAAATTTTCACGTAATATCTGAATGCCGGTAGGTTTGGTTGTTCTCCAGGGATGCCCTCCCAGATGACAAAGAGCAGGAAATGAAGCTAGCATTTGTTTCTGGATGATTGGGAGCTGAATCCCAGTTTCACGAACCAACCACAGTTAAAACAAGCCATGGCTTTGTTCTGAGGCAGTGAGCAGTGACGCATGAAAGCTCATCCCCTGCCACAAATTCTGTTAGTCTGTAACGGGCTACCAGACTCCTGCTTTTTCCTACTGCTACAGGCAAACACGGCTACGCATTTTGATCTATTTCCATGGCTTTGTGTTTTGTCAGAACCGAGACAGGATCAGACAGCTGGCCTTTTGTGACCTGGTGGTTTGTGTTATTGTAAAGCGTTGGGCTACCCTTGAAGACAACCTGCAAACGGCAGCTGGCTCAGAATGTGGCAGTCCCGTTCTTGTTGGAGGCCAGCCGATGAGAACGTATCTCGCCGATTTTAAAACAGCTACACCGGCTGCTGGTTTTGAGCTACCCCCCCCCCCAATACCTCTAACTGGATAATTTCTCAATTCCCAATTCCTGATTCCAAAAACAAATAAAACATTCTTTGAGAACAGCCACAAATAGGGCTGCCAACCTCCAGGTGGCACCTGGAGATCTCCTGCTATTGTCCTTGGTCTTCAGACCACCAAGATCGGTTCCCTTGGAGGAAATGGACGCTTGGGAGTGCGGGCTCTGTGGCATTATACCCTGCTGAGGTACCTCCCCTTCCCCAAGCTCTTCCCCCCAAATCTCCAGGTATTTCCCTAGCCACAATAACATAGAGTTGACAACTTCCTCAAGCCTGGAGCAAATTCTTCCTCCTTCCAGTTACTAAGAGGACTCTATTGTCATACAAGGGAATTGTTTGCAGGCTTCTGATGATTCTTCAGAGTTTTAACAGTCTACTTGTATTTTGCTTCCCCAAGCTCTTAAGAGCAAGCAAAGTTCTTTGGCGAGGCAAATAATTATTGCACTTCCTCCTGTCCCTTAAAACACTGTTCCAAGATCTAAATGCACGATTCAAAATCCTCTTTTCATTCAGTTGGAAATCATCAGGAGCCATTGTCTTCTTTGCCAAGAAGCCGGTTTTTTAAAGGAGATCTCCACACTGTCAAACCTGTTCAATATTGGCTTCCTCCCAAGGACATGACAGGAGCGGATGGACATCATAGGACCTTCCCTTGGAGACCAGTTAAAGACAATTTTAGATAAAGACCCACACAACAAAAAAGGAGGCAAACCCTTCCTTCCCCCCCCCCCCCCCCATTTCTCTCAGCCTAGCAAAAAAAGAGGTCGGTTCTTAAGGATTCAGAAGAGCAGTCACAGAACTGTTCCACACCGCACCATTTATTGGCCCTTTTCTGAACTACTAAATGCTGCAAGGGGAAGGTGCTATTCAGATCCCACTTTTGCAAGGTTGCCAGCCTCCAGGTAGCTGGAGGTCTCCTGGTATTACAACTGATCTTCAGGTGACAGAAATCAGTTAACCTGGAGAAAATGGCTGCTCTAGAAGGTGGAACCCATTGAAGTCCCTCCCCTCCCCAACCCCCACCTTCCTCAAGCTCCACCCACAAAACCTCCAGATATTTCCCAAACCTTATTAAATGGTATGATCTGTGATACTGTGTAGTTGCAACTATTTCTTGGAACCAGTTTGTTCAGAAATGAGTCAGCAGATTCGCATCTAGATTTCTTCTGTCACTTTATTTCCTGCATTGTTCAGGGGGTTGGACTAGATGACCCTGGAGGTCCCTTCCAACTCTGATTCTATGACTTGCTGTTTCCTTTATCCCTGTACTTAATGCAGGCAAGAACTTGAAGCCATGATTTCTCCTGTAAATCCAGGCTGTTGGGTGAAGTCAGCAATGCAAGGCATCCTTCATAATCAGCACATGGTCTGCATCCCCAGAGTGATGTACTTTGCAATGATATCAAAAAAGTAAGATACTCTTTTGGAAACTGCAGACATGTTCCCTTTTGGTCATATAACATGCGGTACATACATTTTATTTACTTTTTTACCCACCTTTCCTCAAGTTTTGGTGCAGTGAGAGCCAGTTTGGTGTAGTGGTTAGGAGCGTGGAGTCTAATCTGGAGGAACCAGGTTTGATTCCCCACTCCTTCACATGCAGCTGCTGGTGTGACCTTGGGTCAATCAGAAGTTCTCTCAGAGCTGGTCTCTCAAGAGCAGTCCTCAAATAGCTCTCTCAGCCCCACCTATCTCACAGGGTATCTGTTGTGGGGAGGGGAAGGGGGAGGAGATTGTGAGCCGCTCTGAGACTCCGAGTGAAGGGCAAGATATAAATCTCTCCTCCTCCTCACAGCTTGGGCAAAATATGTTCATTTTACCCCAACAACAACCCTGTGAAGTAGGACAGCAGAGATCATCCATTTAATTTGTAGTTCTGAAAATGTGTTTCATTTGAATTAATAACTAGATATCGAGAATCAAACTTCCCGTTGTCAGATATCTGATGAAGGGAGCTTTAACTCTTGAGAGCTCATACCCTGACAATCTTGTGGGTCTCTGAGGTGCTCCTGGACTCTAATCTAGTTGCTCTACACAGCTACCTTCGGAAATGATTCAAATAACTAGAGCGTGAATGGCCTGAGGTCACCCAGTAAGATTCAGGTCAGAGTGAGGATTAAAACCCGGGTCTCTGCAGTGCCCTCTAACAATTACTCCACACAATTTAAATGCCCTGAGGTAAGAGTTTCTAGTTGATGCGAGCACACAGACCTGGCATCTTAATTTCTTAAATAACTTGATTAAGTAATAGAAAAGAGTAAGAGTCCAGGAGCACCTTAAAGACTAACAACATTTGTAGTAAGGTATGAGCTTTCTTGACTCACTGCTCACTTCTTCAGATAATCAGGGCTCTTTTTGTAGAAAAAGCCCAGCAGGAACTCATTAGCATAATAGGCCACACCCAACAGCAGGAACTCATTAGCCTATTGGGCCACACCCCTGACAGCATAGCTCATTAGCACATTAGGCCACACCCACATGTTACCAGAAGTGTGGTTATCCAGCCACACCCACCTTTTGCTTGTTATTCTGTTTACCTTGTTTGTTGTCAAAACCCAGGGCCTTTTTTTGTAGCAGGAACTCCTTTGCATGTTAGGCCACACACCCCTAATGAAGCCAATCCTAATGGGTTTCTGCTGTTGGGTGTGGCCTATTATGCTAATGAGTTCCTGCTGGGTGTGGCCAACTTGGGAGCCAGCCGGAACTCCGTTCCTGTGCGTTCCTGCCCCAAAATAGCCCTGGATAAACTTGAATAAACGTGTGTTGATTTGGGGTGCAATCCTAGCCGGGTCTATTCAAAAGTAAATCCAATTTTATTCAATCGTGCTTACTCCCAGGAAAGTGTTCTTAGGGTTTCAGTACTAGAAATCTCGATGTTTCTCCTTGATTTTACTGACTGTAAGCTAAGCTTCTGGAGGGAAGGTGGCACGGTAAAATCCAGTCTTGTCAGATCTCAGGAGCTAAGCAGGGTCAGCCTTGGTTAGTACTTGGATGGGAGCCCTCCAAGGAAAACTGCAGAGAAAGGCAATGGCAAACCACCTCTGCTTCTCCCTTGCCTTGAAAGGCCCTTGCTGGGTTCACCATAAGTAAGCTGTGAATTAATGGCTCTTTACACAGAAAGAGAAAAAGTCAAGCTAAGCCCCTTTGTGTAAACAGGGAAACATGTGTCTCACACACAAATCTAACAGTGTTAATTTCCAACAAGTGGCACTCTTAGTAAACATAATTTACACACCACACCTCAACTCACCCCCTTTTGTACCTACAAAATAGTGTTTTTATAGTTGGAAGGGTACTGGTTCTGGTGGTCCAGATCCTTCTTTAGTTAGCAGAGTGCACAAAGCTTTAATGCAGCAGTGCTTGTATCAGACCTCACCTGACCATGCGCTTGCACAGTTGCAAAGTCACACAGAGCCACTGTTTCAAGTTGAAATAAAATAATAATTACTTTATTCTAGAAATACATACTTGATAGTGCAGGGTAGAGAAGTAGAGACAGTTCCTATGCCACCTAGTTAACAGATGGGAGTGGATGCAGAGGCATCCTGCACCCCCATCTTGTGTCTATGGGAGAAAAGAAAGAGAGAGAAAACAGAAGGAAGTTGCTTTTCCCTAAGGAGTATTCATCTGCACTTCAAAGGGAGTCAGTGACAGTGGAGAGTAAACAGGAAGATGCTTAGTGTTTGCCTGTCTGCCTGCATACTCTGTGGTCACTTGCTTCTGGAGGTCTTGAGACCCAGGGGCATCACACCTGAAACTTCCAACAGTTATGGGGAGTGGCGTTTCTTTTTCCAAAATCCACTTATTAAAGATATAGTCATTGATTCTTGTTATTCTCTTTATCTTTCAAAAGAAGACTTTCTCTTTCATTTCTCCTTGTAGTTTTCTTTTAACTTTCTATGCACCTTTTTGTCAATTCAGCCCTTGTAGTTGTTTTATGTTACACACCACAGGATGGCACTCTGGCAGGAAGACATTGTTTGCCTCTGTGTATGTGCAGGATGAAATTCTGAAATTTCCCCTTCCCTTCTTCAAATTTCTCTTTTGAGCCAAACAGTTCAAAACAGACTTTGAATTTTTAAAGAAGAGAAAATAAATGGATTGTTGGATTTCAGGGAGAAATTGGGTGATGAGGAATTAAGAGAATTCCTTAACAATGCTATTACACAACTAGCAGTTGAAAATGTGTGTGTGTGTTTTAAAAACTGCCTAGGTCAAGCTTAACAGAAAAACAGTCTGGAGTTGTAAGTCTCTAGAAGGACACAAAATAAAGTTCTGGCATATAAAAAAAAGGATTTCAGTGCTGCATGCAAACAAAATAAAGAGGGGGATCATCAGCACAGGATGAAATTGACATGAGATATAAAGAGGAAGAGAGAGACTGGGATGGGAAGCCTAAAGCGTGGAAGGCAGTTTTCCCTTTAATGCTTTAGTGAACAAAGATGGGGGGAGTGAACCATTTTGGCAGTCTCTGGAAGCCTGATATTAAAATGATGGCTGAGCCACATGGACCTTCTGCAAATCGCCAAACTTAAGAATTGCTTGGCATCAATCCATTTGGAGGAAGAGTGCAATCCACACAGGACAGGCTTTAAAAAACTGCCAAGATCACAACTAGCATGCAAGATCAAATTAGAGAATCACAGAGAAAACCGCGCAAATTTGCAAGGAAGGGCAGGAAATTAACGTTACTATGCCACTGCGCTAGGGCATCAGCAAAAATACTCCCTGATCATTTTTTTTCAATTCAGTGGCACAAGACCAAAAAAGGTCTCCAGAGCTTCTGCCAGAGGACTCCTCCCTCATACATATTGCAGCTCTGTGCAAAGTGTAGTTGAGCTGCAGCTGACTTTGCTCAGGCGTGCGCGCGCGCGTGTGCACACACACGTTGCCAACGATCACCACTTGCAATGCCAGTGGGCTCTACCATGTATTCTGTACACTCAACATATTTCCCCATATTATGAGATCATGTGACTTTCCCATTTTTAACAGTAGCCAATAACACAGCGGAGAATCCCCTAGTGCTTGGCAATATGGAAAACGGGGCTTCTCAGCTGCTTGTCAGTTTCAACATTGTCCCCCCCCCCTTTGCCTGCATTCCTCTTTGTTCCCTTTCATTCAATGAACTGAGGCTAAAATGCATGCACAAAACCTGAACCACAAGGATCTAAATGGAAGAAGCTTGCTGGATGCTACTGCACAGCTGCAATAGAGCAATTGTGTAAATATATATAAAAAAATCCACCCTGATTTAGAAAAGTGAATTTTTTTTAAAAAAATTGTAGCTGCAGGTTAAATACACCAGAGGGAAAAGAATGGTGGATAAGACGGGCACAGAATCTGAAGTCAAGATTAAATCTGAAAATCTCCAGTAAGATGTGCATGCGTAATGGGCCTTTGCCTTCTTCCTGTTCACTTACAAGTGCTGTCCAATATGTCTGTAGGCTCCCTGCCTCCAACAGTTTCAGGCTACAGACTTATTTGACCAGGCTCTTCGGCTGACAGCCCTGTTATGTCAAACCCTCACGAAACAGAAGGGATCCTGTAACAGAGGGAGGACGGAGATAGGGCCAAGTCAGTTATTTGTGCTTCCTTTTAAAGTCCCGATACATCGCAACAAGCAGTTGTTAAGCTTTTAAACAAAGTTATCCATTTTCTCTTCTTCCTCAGCTTCCTGCCTTGGGATGTCCAAGTTCTTGTTCAAAAATTCCTGGGATTGGATAAGTACGTTCCTCAAAAAGAAGCAAATTGTGCTACAGGAAGATGAAGATTCTCCCTTTTCAAAGAACTGAGCTTAAAGCAATATTTCTAATACTGAAATCAAGACCAAAAAAAAAAAAAAAAGAATGGAAAAAATTACTTACAACTGTGCAGCATTTAGCTTGAGAGATCCATTGGCACATAAATAGCTTTACTACCCTCTTCTAGAACATTCTTCCTTTGATCTATCAAACAGGAGATGCGCAGTTGCAACAACAGACTGAACAAAATTAAAGCTAGTCCTCCAAACTCAGACCTCAGTGAGAATTACACAGTAGGTAGAATCCTATTGGAGTAACATACCTACTCTTTGGATGATTTTCTTTGCTTATTCCATGGTAGACTGAGAGCCAGTGTGGTGTTGTGGTTAGAGTGCAGGACAAGGTCTAGGGGACCCAGGTTCAAGTCCGCACTCAGCCATGAAAGCTCACTGGGTGGCCCAGGGTCTGTTACACACTCTCAGCTGAACCTATCTCACAGGGTTGATGTGAGGATAAAATAGAACCATTTTGGGTCCCCAATGGGGAGAAAGGCAGGGAGAGCCAGTTTGGTGTAGTGGTTAAGAGCCGCAGACTCTAATCTGGGAGAACCAGCTTTGATTCCTCCCTCCTTCACATTCAGCCCACTGGGTGACCTTGAGCCAGTCACAGTTCTCTCACGAGCAGTTCTCACAGAGCTCTCTCAGCCCCACCTACCTCACAGGGTGTCTGTTGTGGGGAGGGGAAAGGAGACTGCAAGCCGCTCTGAGACTCTGAATGAAGGGCAGGGTATAAATCCAACTCTTCTTCTTATAAATGAAGTAAATAAATGAAATGCTTTCTAGGAAAGCTGGCCCTAGAGTAATAAGGCTCATTACCTCCTACTTTCTAGCCCAGATGTGCAGATGACTCATTTCAAGGAGAAATTTAGTTTCCCATCAACAGAGAAATAAGTGAATTGATTTGAATAATGCCAAACTTGGAGGCAACCTGGAAAAATGGTTCAGATGTGTACATTATTGTGTATTCACTCATCCAGCAAAACTTAAAAAAATAATCTTTAGCTGAGCGAAAGGGGTTGGAATGTAGGCCATGATATAAATACAGTTTAATAGGGAGTGATGTGAAGTCTCCTAAATCCACACTTCCTTCTTGCGTTTTTCGCAAGTTAGATAGAACATATTCCTTTGGTATTACAATTGCCCAAGTGACCGAAGTCACTTCTTTGTGCCACTGCTTAAATCATTCATGTGATGCCAGTTTGGGGTCGTGGTTAGGAGTGCGGACTCTAATCTGGGAAAGCTGGGTTTGATTCCCCCACTTCTCCACATGCAGCTACTGGTGTGACCTTGGGTCAAGTTACAAGTTCTTTCAGAGCTGTTCTCTCACAAGCAGTCCTCGAAAGAGCTCTCTCAGCCCCACCTACCTCACAGGGTGTCTGCTGTGGGGAGGGGAAGGGAAAGGAGATTGCAAACCACTCTGAGACGCTGAGTGAAGGGCAGGGTATAAATCCCATCTCTTCTCTTCTTCTCTGATGGGGACAGGTTGGTTGGGACTGAAAAAGCCACCAGATGCAAATTAGATTAGATCCTAGCCTGCCATGGATTGTTAAATCAAGCTGACAAGACCGGAGAGACTTGGGTGGCCCAGATTACTAATGCACCTTAGACAAAGGTCCTTAAAGTGTTGAAAGAGACCCAGAAACTGCTGCACAGGTGGGAGGTTTGGATATATTGAAAACTGGAGGTGTGAAGAATGTTGTAAGCCCCTCAAATGGGGAGAGAAGCGGGGTATAAATGAAGGAGGGGAAATGGCATGACAAGGCTGTGTGAATATAGGCTGTTGCCAAAACCCATTGACATTTTAGAGAAAATAGCATTAGTATAGTAGGTATTTTCCTGTCAGACATGAAACTCAGCCTTCTAAGAAGTGCTGGCACACACAACCTCTACTAATTTAATACACCTTCCATAGGCCCCACTAAAGAGTAAGCAGGTCTCATGGTACCACTGGTGGAATCCATCCATAGCTCTCTCTCTCTCTCTCTCTCTCTATATATATGTATATAAATGTTTCATGTGTAGGCATCACCCAAGCCACCCTTTTTAGTAAAATGAAGTTCTTACCACTATGAGGTTAACATTTTTTTTAAATGTAGAAAACAAAGTCCTAGAAATTTATAAGCAAGAGCAATCAAAGCCAGTCTCCTATTTCAGTTAAAATATTTTACTGCCTTCGCTTTGAGACTTTAAAGTGGACTGCAAAACTGCATGGAATATTGTATATGGAGAAGTTTCCTCTATTGTGTCAATGTCTGGATCAGCTCCATGGGCATCCAGGTCAATGCAAGTTCTGGAGTGCGTGGAACAAAAGAGAGAATGGCCACAGGAGACAGGAAAGGCACAAATGACCTTCCACAAGCTGCACTATCCATTCTTCAGCCCCTCCTGTGCATAATGAAGGGAGGCCCACCTGGCTGGCTTTATAAGATTCCCCCCTGCCACTGACCTCCCCACCCCCGCCCCAGAAGCCCTGGGGCTGGAGGAGAGTGGCTCCTGTGAGAGAGAAGTGGCAAAGATGCTTTCTGTGATCTCAGCTCCATCCAGAGCTCTTAGAATCCAAACCCATGATCCTCGCTTTAAATACCTCCATGGGCTAGTAAACCCTGACCTGGATGGCCCAGACTAGCCCAAACTTGTCAGATCACAGAAGCCCTGGTCTGTATTGGGTTGGGAGACAATCACAAAATACCAGAACCACTAACAGAGGCAGGCAATGGCAAACCAACTCTGGACGCCTCTTCCCAGTGGTGCGGTGAAACCTGCTTACTTTTTAGTGGGGCCTATGGAAGGTGTATGAAATTAGTGGAGGTTGTGTGTGCCAGCACCTCTCAGAAGGCTGAGCCTCATGTCTGACTGAGGAAAAGTAGGTTGCTTACCAGTAACTGGTGATCTTCGAGTGGTCATATGTGCATTCACACCCATGGGATCTAATGCGCACGCGCTGGGTCGAACGGTGCTGTAGCAAGCTCTTTTAATGGATTTTCGCACCCAGTCCCTCGGGCATGCGCAGGAACCCCACCGCGCATGCCCAGAGGGGTGGGTGCGGACATCCCGCCAGCTCCTACAAACCGCCACAAATCAACCCCTATTCAAAAATGTAGAAGCTGACAGCAGCGGGGAAGGAGGGCGGGTGGTGTGAATGCACAGATGACCACTTGAAGATCACCAGTTACTGGTAAGCAACCTGCTTATCTTTGACGTGGTCTCTGTGCTTCACACCCATGGGAGATTAGCGAGCAGTGGCCTATCTGGAGGTGGGTGCTGGCAGGTCTTTTACTGCGTAGCCGAAGACAGAATGTGACATCCCATGTTGGTACTGGTGTTGGTACGGACGTCTAGGGCGTAGTGCCTAATGAAGGTGTTAGGCGTGGCCCAGGTAGTGGCTTTGCAAATGTCCGGCAGTGGTACTCCCTGGAGGAAGGCAGTGGAAGTTGTGACAGCCCTGGTAGAGTGAGCCCTGATATGGCCAGGCAATGGCTGTTTGGCGAGTAGGTAACATAGATGGATTAGACCTACAATCCACTTTGACAGGCGCTGGGCTGTGATGCGCGTACCCAGTCGTGCCGGAGCGTACGAGACGAATAGTTGTGAGTCTCCTCTAGTCGGGTGTGTTCTACTGAGGTAGAACAGGAGAGCCCGCTTTACATCCAAGAAGATGTAAGAAGGACTGAGGACATGGGCAATGCCAAGGTGGACGAAGTATCAAGCTGAACTATATTGTAAACAGCATCTGTTGCTTGCGGATGTTGCTGGATGACAGAGAGACCTAAAGAATGGGCCATTCTTTTGACCAGATCAGGGGTAAGGTTGTCAGATGGAGAGACAGGTAAGTCCTCCGCGACATCCTGGTTGGGAGACGTATGGTCAGGAGAGGTATGAATCTCAGAAGCCTCTGTATCTGAGTCCTCTTCCATGAAGTCAGAGGAGTCTTGTTGTGGTGTGTGGACCAAAGTGTCCTGTTGAGAGGGTACTGGTTTTGTTTGGACGACAGGAATGACAGGGTTTGGAGTGACCGGAGGATTGACAGGACGACTTGGTTCCAGAGAATGGTGGGACGGATCGACTACAGGAGGACGCGACAGAGATGCTGAAGGTCTCGACTTGTGGGAGGATCTCGACCTATGAACGGAGTGGGTCGAATAGTGATCCCAATCAGAATAGCCCGCTGGAGTCAACCACGGCATGGATGGTGGATTAAGCCCTGTAGAGGTACCTCAACTGTCGTTGATCCCACGACATTGGTGGGGGGGGCAGGAAGACTCTGGGGGAGCGACTTCTGGACCGTGGACGTCTGGGAGACAAAGCATTAGCTTGTCTGCGGGCATTGTCCCTGTAATGTCGGTCGTCGATATCGGCGTGTGCAGACGAGGGGGGTGATGCTGAGTGTCACATGCAGAATATCGGTGCCGATGTGGAGTGATGTCGGGAGCTTCCGATACCGTCGATGTCGACGACAGAGAATGCTCTACCATTTCGATGTCGGAGTAAGGAGGCTCCATTTGGTGGACAGGGGAATCATATACATGGATGGTCGGTATCGGTGGAGGAACTTGGGCCTCCGATATCGATACTGCCGTTGGAGCGGGGGGGCACTATGGGGGCATCACCCAGCGCAGGCACTGCTTCCTTCCCCTTCTTTGCCGCCTTAGGGACTTGGAGGTGCCCTTCTTTACGGACTTAAGCTCCGTACTTGCCTTAGCCTTCTTTTTGAGTCGCGTTGAGGCGGACGATCTTGCCTTCGATGTCGGGAGCTTCGGTGTCGGGTGGTCGACATCGAAGGCAGGTCTCGATGCCGGAGCTGTCGATGTAGACGGTCCCTTCCTCCATAGCTGAGGCAGGAGCAAGGGCCAATTCAAGCAGCGCCACTTTAAGGCGAGCAGCGCGGTTCTTCCTCGTTTGGTTGGAGAAGCGAGCACAATGACGACAGGACTCTGGCTTGTGAGTCTCTCCAAGGCAAAAAATGCAGA